ACCAATGGGTTCCTAGAATACTTACCTAGAGAGGAAAGCCTGTACTACAAAGGGCCTGCCCTCCAAAAAATAATTCCAGGTTTTTTTGGATCCCCCTTGCACACTGCTGATAGGAGGGTAAAATAGTGTAGCTGCTTTGGAAAACAGTCTGTTAGTTCCCTAAACGATAAGTACATATAACAACAGTCTGTTAGTTCCCTAAACGATAAGTACAAAGTGAACCTATGATCCAGGAATTTTACTCCTGTGTATATACCCAAGAGAAACGAAAACGTATCTACATAAAAAATTGTACACAAATGTTCATAGCAGCATTATTAATAATGGCACCCAAATGAAAGCACCTAAATGGCCGTCAACTGATGAATTGATCAACAAAATGTAGGTATTTCCATTTGATGGAATATTATTCAGCAATAAATAGTAATGAAGTACTGACACCAGCTATAATATGAGTGAAACTTAAAAGCACTATGCTAAGGAAAAGAATCCAGTCTCAAAAGACCACATATTGTGTGATTCCATGTATATGAAATGTCCAGAAGACACAAATCTATAGAGACAGAAAGTAGATTAGTGGCTGCCTAGGACTAGATTGGAGCAAGGAGTTAGGTGGAATGAGGGTGGAATGCTGAAGTGTCCAAGATTCCTTTACGGGGTAATGAAATGTTCTAAAATTGACTGTAGTGATGGTTGCACAACTCTGTGAATATAACCACCACTGAACTGTATACTTTAAATGATAAATTTGATGGTCTGTGAATTATATCTCAATAAAATTGTTATAAATCTTTCCCTGAATCATCCTCCTCCCACTCTCCCAATCCTTCCATCATCCTAGGCTCTTATGGGCTCACATGACCTTGTGCATACTTTTATTATACAGTGGTGCCAAACTGTGTTGTAATTATCAGTGTAAATGTCTATCTCTCCAACTTGAATGTACTTTAAATCAGGGGCTATGCCTGACATGGGAGGTACTCAATATTTTTTAACACTTTCCTTCACGTTCTAGTCCAATGTCTTAAATAAACATACAAATCTTTTACATATTACAGCAGTGTATGTAAGCTATCTAGAAGTATGCTTTTCTACCACAGTTTATCAGTGCCCAGAAATTGAGTACACAGAGTTATCATTAATAGTTGATAATGTTATAATATACTGCCAGGTCAAAGCACCACTGTCTGCTTAGTACTTTATCTTGGAGAATTTGTTATGCCCAATTTTTTTTTTTTTTAAGTCTCACTCTGTGCCTGTGGAGACGGGAGTGCAGTGGAGACTGGAGTGCAGTGGCACACTCACATCCACCACAACTTCAACCTGCTAGGTTCAGGTGATCCTTCTGCCTCAGCCTTCCAAGTAGCTGGAACCACAGGTGTGTGCCACCATGCCCAGCTTTTTTTTTTTTTTTTAAATGTAGAGATGAGGTCTTGCCAAGTTGCCCAGGCTGGTCTCGAGCCCCTGGACTCAGGCAATCCTCTCACCTTCATCTTCCAAAGTGTTGGGATTAGGGCAGGAGCCACTGTGCTTGGCCCCAACTTTTAACCATTATAATTATCAGAGACTATCTTTAGACATATTACTTATTTTTCCTCTTTTTGAACCATTTCCTTAAAGTATCCTCCTCAGATCAATATTACTAGGTCAATGGGTATAAACACTGGGCACCTGCTTGCCAAAAACTCCAACAACACTGGAGAGTATGTTTTATTTATTAAAATCGATTCAAACTTCTCTTTCCTCAAAGATCCAGAATGATTAAGCAATTCGAATTTCTTTTTTTGAGTTGGAGTCTCACTCTGTCGCCCAGGTTGAAGATTCAGAATGATCAAGCAATTCCAATTTCTTTTTTTGAGCTGGAGTCTCACTCTGTCACCCAGGCTGGAGTGCAGTGGCACAGTCTCTACCGGCTGAGCTCAGGTGATCCTTCCACCTCAGCCCTCCAAGTTGCTGGAACCACTGGCATGTGCCACCACACCTGGCTAACTTTTTGATTTATTGAAGAGACGAGGTCTCATCATGTTGCTCAGGCTGGTCTTGAACCCCTGTGCTCAGGCAGTCCTCTTGCCTCCTCCTTCCAAAGTGCTAGAATTACAGGCTTGAACCACCAAACCCAGCTTCCAATTTCTATTATTACATTTTTTTGTTTAATTCTTAAACCCATATGTAATTTACTTTAGTGTACAGCATGAATGTTTTTCATAAAATTAGCCAATTGATCCATAAAGCCTACTTTAAACTCCTTAGAAAAGATTGCTTATTAAGTAAATAGCACTGGCACAACTGAAAGTTACCTGGGCTAAAAACAAGTTGGGCATAGTGGTGCATGCCTGTAGTCCCAGCCACTAGGGAGGCTAGGGCAGGAGGACTGCTTGAGGCCAGGAGTTCAAGGCCAGCCTGGACAACACAGTAAGACCCCCATCTCAAAGAAACAAATAAAAATCCCCAAAGGACTACTATGTCATTCTGTATATCAAGACAGATTGATAAATATCAAGATGGAATCAAGCTTAAATATAAACATCAAACAATAAAAGTATCTTAAGAAAATACAGGTTTTTTTAACCCTTCACACTCGGAGACATCTCATAGATCACCTACCAGCAACCTGACCACACTTTTTTTACAAAATAGTGAAAAACACATCACTTCATATTAAATAGTATAGTGATAGAACCAATTATTTTATTGTAATATTTGGCTTATAATGAAATTTTGGACACTGAGGAACTTATGACAAAAAAATTTTAAAACTTTATATTTTTCTAACATAAGGTAATGAGTGAAACAGTCACTGACAAGCATTGCAGGTTCATTGATACATAGTCATTTGTTTGATGTCTTCCACCTGGTGTTTTTCTATTTTAGCAGACAATGCAGTCTTGTTTTCTTCCTCCCACACTAATAATATGTAATTTATTGTTTTGTTTGTTGTTCAAAGAAGATGTGGAAGGATGCATTTATGATTCCTGAAGACCTGTTCTCAACTGATAGATCATATCTCAGTATATATTCCATCTCTTTATTTGCTTTTTCATGCAATTTGAATGGAAAACTTCAAGGAAACATACATTTTTTAAAAATTTGCACTTGTATAAGTTTGTCCTATATAATCACCAGCAATCTCCTTAAGTTCCCTGAAAGGGGACATCAGAGTGGTTTGCTAGATTTATGATGCTCCCTCAGAGGGAACATCCAAGAGCAAAGGGCTTAAGAAAATGATTTTATAGGGAAAATGACCATCAAGACCATAAAGGAAAATAATGCTAAGTTTGACTACATAAAAAATCTTCTGAGGCTTTAAAAATAATTTATAAATAAAACTGGAAAGCAAACAAATGGGAAAAATATATGCAACAATTGAAAAGTATTAGTGGTTCTAATATAAATATATATATAGGAAGGAAATGAATAAGAGTAAAATGATCAGTAATCATATGAAGAGACTTCAACCACACTAATAATTAAAAAAAAGAAAAACAAAGATAGTAATTCTTCATCTACCCAACAAAGATTTAATTTAAAAAACTGACCAAGCCACAAGTATATACAGGGGATATGGGCTTTCCTGCGCTCTTTTTGCGGGAGTTTAATTTGTGTATTATTGGTAGAAAGCATATTGGTAATTATGTATCAAAGTATAAAATCTATTGACTGTTTGACCCGCCATTGCCCCTGCTGAGATACTAAAGGATATATTCTCAGAAATATAAAAATAATACAGTACAAATTACTACAGACAATAAAATAATGAATAAGGGTTGCCAGGTACAAAATCTACATACCAAAAAAATCAGTACTTTCATATATGCAAACAACAATCAATTAGAAAATATCAGAAAAAAACTCCAATTTCAAAGAATAAATGTTACCAGCATTTATGTAGGGTCTAGGCAATTTTAAAACATACCTGAAATATACAAAGGCAATACATAAAAAATGGAATGGTGTATAAAGTTCTTGAATAGAAACATTCAGAACCATAAAGCTGTCGATGTACAACATAATACACAAACAATGGAATACTATGCAGCCATTTAAACTGATACTATAAATTTGTATTTCAGTGAAAATTAGTGTGGCTGATTACTCAGTTTTCAATGTTGATTTCTCCAAAATCTTACTCTTTTCTTCAAGTTTCAGCATAATTGTTACCTCCTTTATGGCTTTCCCTAACCCCCAAGAATGAAATTAGTTGCTTTGTCCTCTGCATTCCCATCACATAAAGCTTACACCACTCTTGTAATAAGCATTGTATTCTGCCTTGTATGTTTACTCTTTCTGTAATTACCTCCTAAACCATGGTAAGCTATGTAAGGGCAGAATCACATCACTTTCACAGTAATACCATATGATAGGTGTTCAATGTTTGTTGAAAGCACAAATTTTGAAAATATTATTTTATCACTAATTAAATAAGTCTACTTTAGAATACTATATATGTTAGCAACAATTTAGAAAAATGGGATTACTCAGTACAAACGGAGAGTTCTTATATAGCACTGATAAGAAAAGAAAGGACAGGGATCACTGGGGAAAGTAATTTGGCAGTATGAAGCAAGCTAGCAATTGTATTTCTAAAAAATAATAAAGAAATTTTTAAAAGGTCTAAGCACAGAGATAGATGATTATTACAGCAATTATCCCAAATAAGGAAACAGCTAACTGAATTATGGTACAAACTTTACAGCCAATAGAGAGAATTACTGCAAAGAGCTACTAATATAAGAGCAAGAACACAAGGAAAGCAAGCTATAACAATGTATACCCACACACATATTTAAGCAATGTTAAAAAAAAAAAACCTTAAACACATAGAGAAAAACAGAAAAGTAATATATCAAAATGTTGATAACAGGTATCTGCAAATAGTGAAGGAATTTTTTTCTTCTTTGTAATATTTTGTTTTCCAAAATAATAAATACTAATTTTATAATCAAAAAGCAAATAAAGGCTGGTGAAATAAAGGTAAGAATTACAAGAAGAAGGGTCCTTACCCAGGGAGGTCACATTTCCATAATTCTCCAGCATCACATCCCAGTACAAGGCCCTCTGAATTGGGCCCAGACATGCCCATTCCTCTGAAGTGAAACATACTGATACCTCCTCAAACATCACCAATTCCTGAAATAACAGGTGTGAGTGAGATTATCAATGCCCAGAAGCTTACCTATTAAAGGCTCTTTTCGGCCGGGCTTGGTGGCTCAACCTGTAATCCTAGCACTTTGGGAGGCCGAGGCAAGTGGACTGCCTAAACCCACGGGTTCGAGACCCACCCGGGCAACTTAGCGAGACCTCATCTCTACAATAAATCAAAAGTTAGCCAGGCGTGTTAGTGCGCGCCTGTAGTTCCGGCTACTTGGAAGGCTGAGGCGGAAGGATCACCAGAGCCCAGTAGGTCAAGGCTGTGGTGGCCGGGGGCGTGCCACTGCACTTCGGTCAGGGCGTCAGAGTGAGACTCCAAAATAAATAAATAAATAAACAAATAAATAAAATTAAAAGGTTCCTTTCACCTTTAGGGAAGAAATACATTGTGAGGCCATGGGATGTGCAACAGCCATCAGGGAGACATGAAGAAGCCATAGTGAAGTCTGTCATCCAATAGCATGGATCTTGATTTAGAATGGGAGCGGACTAGACACCCAAGCACTAGGACGAGGGCACTTTAGTCACAGTTAAGTAGTGCAGATAGGAAAGAGGTTGCAAACCTTACCTGGGGCTGGGCTGTTAGGAGCATAAGTGCCATTAATTGATTTCTTGGGTTCTCTTCCTGGGAAAGGGCAGAAGCTTCAGGGGCAGGAGAATCTGAGGAAGGAGGAAAAGCTGCATGTGATACCTACGGAACTTTTCAGAGTGACCTCTACGTGCAGAACTGGAATAACACAAAAAGTAGCAATAAGAAGGATACAGAATCAGAGAGACCCAAGAAAGAATGAGAGAGGGAACAGAAGGAACAGCAAAAAGAGACTGGCACTGTAAAGGATTCTTATACAGGGCAGAAGAAAAAACTCCCTAGCAGAGGAGGAATGAGCCACAGAAAGGGTCCTGGAAAAGTCCAAAGTCAAGGCCACTGAGTAAGTACCATGTTGAGGCTCCTGGAGGTTGAACACCACTGGGTCTGTAAGGGGATTTGGGCAAATTTCAGCTGCTATGTGGCTGCTAGTGAGTACGGGAGGAAGTATTGTTCCTGGAGAACTCATCTCCTTCTGGAGAGTGTCCTGATCCTGGACAAGGACTGGAACCTGGAAACAAGCAAAACAAAATAAGTTGGTTCTTCTTGTACCTTCAAAAAATGAACTCACTTAACCAACGTGGACCTCTTTCTGCCCACGATCTAGAACTGTGAGATCAGAGAGACCCATCTGAAGCAAGTATGGAGCAATAAAATAGCAACTGAGAGCAATGCAACTGTACACTCAGAACAATGGAGCTGCCCTCTAGCCACAGACGTAACACTAGTGAGCTCTCTGACAGGAGACAGTACATAATAGTTGGAAGAGAAGCCGAACCTGGGTATGGGTTAAGGAGGGAATGGGAAATAACTAGCAGTAATGAAGACCATGATTTTTAGCTTCATATCTAGTTTTGGATCAGGCTTAGGTTCAGTCACATCTGTTCTACTTACTTGCCTTCTATTTATTTACCCTTTTACCTATCTCTTTCTGCTCCAATACAATAATAGGTAGGTACCGAGAGACTTGGCTCTGTGGCCAGCTAGATGTCTGCTTCAGTTTTATCTCTCAAATAAGGAGGATGCATTCATAATTTGTAATGAAATAGACAGCTTTATTTTTTGTGATTAAAACAAGGCCATCCTTGTTTGAGTTATGACTCAGACTTCTTAGATAGAAATGTTTCTAGTGGGCTATAGATTTACAGAAAGAAATCTCACATGCAAGAGGCCATAATAAGATCGCATTACAATGGTCAAGGTATAAATCTTATCAGAAGCAAATGTGTTAGCTCAATCCCTTGGCTTGCAGAATCCCCAGTAGGCACACACAAGGGGAGGTTGTACCAGATCCAGAAAGTATGCTACTGCCTTTTATACTCCAGGCTTACATCACCATTCCAGACTTACAGAAACAATACATATGCTTCTGTTTAGGGAAACATTTATAAATATTATCTTCAGGTTCTTGAAGCAAACTCAGCGCTAGCAAGCATCACCCAGAGGACAAGACAGAGTAAGTGCTTTTGTGCTGATTCTGAGTTAAGCCCAAAGACCTCAATCAAAAGTCCATTTCTCTGCAGAGATATTCTATGGTCTGAATAGCTCAAGAACTAATTAGCACTAGTGTTGCTAGTGTGCTATAAGTTGTTAATGAAAATCACAAGACCACCCTCCCACCCAGCCTCAATTCTTTCCCTTTATCCCAACCCGCCTCCCCCCGCCCCCCACCCTTCTTACTTTTAGTGCTGGTTCATCAAGGTCTTTCTGCAGCTCCTCTACCAGGGCCACAGCCTCCTCACCACTCCCAGGGCGATGCAGCTGCACCCAGGTCCGAATCTCCCCAGGTAAGATGCTAAGAAACTGCTCCAGCACCAGCAGCTCCAGGATCTGTGCCTTGGTGCGTGCTTCTGGCCTCAGCCACCGGCGACAGAGTTCCCGGAGCCGGCTCAGAGCCTCCTGAGGTCCGGATGTCTCATGGTAACGTAACTGTCTAAAGTGTAGATGAGAGGTCTCCCAAACAGAGGAGCTACTCCCTTGGAAGCTGGTTCCCCATTTCCAGGTATCATCCTTTCCTTTCACAAGACCCTCTTGTCTCAGAGTATTGTGAGCCCAATTTTCTCTGGTCATTGTTGTCTTTTAAGAAAAACTCCTCTCCAGGTACCCTTAATCCTTGCTTGACTTCTTCCTTAGAGCTGGGACAGTATCATCTCTAAGACCTCAAGAAATCATTGTTAGTTAACTCAGAGAAATAACCAAGTTGTCCAGACCCCAGTTGCCTCCCAGTAATAAAGAGAAGCTCTGTGAATCCAAGGTTCTTGGCTCTAGACTGCTTTTTCTGACAGAAGCCTCTACTTAAGGCTCTGAGGGCACAGCCACTCATGTTACCCAAACCATGTTGAAACCAAACACATGAAATTTCTTTGGTATTTATTCATAGACTCTCCTTCATTTAATTACAATAAACTCCTAACCACTCTCAATGGGCATCCTGGCTACTCCTGTGTAACCCTGAACAAGTTACTTTACTTATGGGACTTTTTTCTTAAGCAGTAAAATAGAATTAAAAACAGGTCTTATCTCTATCTCATGGGATTGTTGTAAGAATTTGAAGTCTAAATATATTTCAAGTTTTTTAACAGTGCCTGGTACACAGATTCAAATGTCAGCTTTTATTCTTCTGTAACTAGCATTCATTCCTACATTCAGCAGGATCAACGTAATCCTGGTCTTAATCCTGAAATTTAAAAAAAATCTTAACATCTTCTCAACAAATAAAAAAAGGCCGAATTAAGTTCTGTGTAGCTTTGTTGTACATTTTAAATTCTCTGAAAATTGTTCATTCTGTTAATCAAACTATATGAATAAATAAGAATAAGGCTTTGTTATATAGAACTCGGGTTTGTTGCTGTATAGAAACCATCTGTTCTTTAGAAATAACATTTATGTTTCTGATTATAAAGCAGAAAATGTATAAAATCAGAAATCACACCAAAAAAAGAGAAAAATAGTCATTGCTAGTGTTTTGGACTATGTCCTTCTAGTCTTTTGTGTACCAGTTTAGGTCACAGATTGACTCCAACTGTATTGCTCTATAACTTGTTTTTCTCACATATCATGTAGTGAACATTTACTAAATATTCATTATTTTTAAGAGCTGTATGAGTTCATTCATATTAAGTAGTTCCTTGTTGCTAGACATTTAGATTGTTTTCTAATTTTCCCCTATTATAAATAAGGCCACAATGACTATCCTTGTTAAGGAATTTTTGGTTACATTTCTGCTTATTTCTTCAGGATAAACTACTAGAAGAAAAATGGTTTGGCTGAAGGGTACAAACATTTTTAAACTTTTAAGATTATAACAGCTACATCAGTGACCTATAAAAACATCCTCATTAATTTTATTTAACACACAGACTCTTAAAAAGCTATAACTGAGCAGAGGAGGCAGAAATAGAAACACAATTTCAATATAATATGTAAGTACAACTAATAAGAGAACATAAGAGCACACAAAGGACTCATGAAAGGTAATTTGAACTGGGCTTTAAAGGAAAAATAAGACCACTGGAATTCCAGGAAGAAATATATTTTAAAAGAAAAGCAAGGGAGTACTAGTGCATATACCTCTGTTAGAAATGTGCTTTGCAAACCAAAGAAAGAAAATAAACTTTGAGGCAGGATTGTAGAAATAGAGAAGAGAGGTAAACAGAAGTCAAATTCTAAAGGCTTTTTAGTGGCAAAAAAAGGTGATTATGTCCTATAAGAGACAAACATTCATTAAGGAGGTTTACTTTACATTTTTCCTTGTTATTTTAAAAAATAGGTAATATATTCAACTGGTTCAAAATTTAGGCACCTCTCCAGCTACTTATGTATGTACAAGTGTATACATATATTGTCTGTATTTTCCTTTTTTCACAAATGGTAGAACACCATGAAAATGTGCTGCCATCTTCTTTTTCTCAGTATATCCTAGCAATCTTTCCTGTCAGTATATAGCCCCTTCCCCTGTCTTTATTGATGTATGGTATTACTGCATGGATGTATCATAATTTATTCATTCCAGTACTGATGAGACATTTAGGCAGTTTTCAATCTTTTATTACCAACAATATTATCATGGATAACCTTGGTCATACATCAATTTGCATACATGTAGGCATGTGCAGGAAAAGTTCCTTGAAGCAGAATTGCTGAGTCCAAAGATATGTGCATTTACAATTTTGATACTGCCAGTTAGTCCTGATTAGGACTGTACCAACTCACATTTTACTCCTTCATCAGCAAGAGATACATGGAAGTACTGATTTCCTCACTCTCTCACCAATACAGTTGTCAAAGTTTGAGATCTTTGCCAAGTTTTTAACTTGTACTTTAAGTGAATAAGTATATAGGAGTTTATATATTTTTTTCAATTATTCATATTTTGGTCATGTTTCTATTGGGGTGTTGGAGTCTTGTTAATTTGTACAAACTCTTATCATTGGAAAATTGTCCTTTGTTTATAATGGGAGGAGCAGATTTTTCCCTGTTTGTCAGGTGTCTTAGTGTCTGTGTCATCTGTGTCATATGCCTTTGCTTACAGTGGTTTTTGCTGTATAATTAATCTTTTATTTTATGGCTTCTGGTTATTGAGCCATAATTAGAAATATCTTTCCCTCTATGAGCATGAAAGGAGTCTTAAGTGGGGCCAGGAACCTATAAAGGAGGAATGATGGGGGAGGGAGGACTGGATATTAGGAAGGTCAATTAGGTTTTTGCAACAGTCTAAACAAATTAAGTTTTAAACAAAGCAGCAGTAGGGATAAGATAATTGAGAAAAACTTGGCAGTTCTTGGTAACTGATCTGGGGGCGACGGATTTTTTTTAAAAGGATTTTAAATAATTTTACACTAAATTATCAGTACTCTACATTTACTTCACAGATAAAAACGACAAATCCTGAAACATACATTTATTTGCTTCTCACAAAAGGTTTGCAAAGCAGATGTATAAAAAGAGCAAAAGGCACAGAGAATACAAGTAATTCACTCAAGGCCACTCAGCTAGTAAAGATGTGGGAGCCAAATTTGAACTCAGGGATTCTAATTCCAAAAGTCCAAAATAATTTCATCTAAGAAGAAACTCATAAAACTCAGGCAACACATGAATGATTTAAAACGATATTCCAATACTAGTCCACAATAAAACTTTACCTGGCAAGTTGCTAAAAGAGAAAACCACCATCTATACATAGTCACTAACAGGTAGGCAATGACTTTTTTTGGCAAGTCACAGCATTTATTCTGAGTTTTCAGTCTTATTACTTAGAGTTAAAATATATTCACCGAAATAATGGTGATATGGGTTAAGTTTGCTTTTTAAATACCTTTATATTACAGAGTTAAAAGATGACAGACAACTGTCCCATCCCTTAATTTAAAAAAAAAAATCTGTCCCCAGAAGACCGAGGGCTAGGTCTAGGGAAGCCTCAAAATGTTTCTGTGCATCTGCCTCAGAGAAGACTGAGGAAGAGCAGAAGGGCCTGAATCTGTTCCCAAAGCTGCAACAGATTCTGTTTAACTCCAGCCCTAGTCCATAGTCCACACACACAGACTCAGGGGCGCTGTCAATATCTCCCCCAAGCCGGCTGCGCACCTAACAGAGCTGAGGAGGGACAGTACTGGGGGCCGGGGCCGGGGAGGGGCCAGCGACGGGTGTGCGGTTTTAGCAAGCTCAGACCGGGCCGCCCTCCGCGCACGCCCACCCGCCCCCGAGCCCACTCCGCTCACCGGGGGCTCACGCTGTGGTTCCAGCCTTGGGTACTGCCGCCTCGGCATTAGGCCGCTAAGAGATGACAGACTCAGGAATGGGACGCAGCGGCAACCGAGGCCCAGAATAATGGCCGAGACCTGGATACTGCGACTTCCGGTTGCTCCCCCGCCCCCCGCAATTCCCGCCTCTCTAGGAGACCGCATCTCTATGGTGCATTGCTTTTCCTAGAGTAGATGAGGAGGGGCGGAGCTCCTAAGTACCCGTGTCTTCATTTCTCCCGATGTTTCAGACTGGACGAGTGCGGAGATAAAAGACAGGGCCCAGGGCTTCAGGGTGCTTGTTGCCTCCTGAGAGAGCTATTTCTGTTTTAATTTGCATTTCAGTTGAAGTTGATAGGGAAACTCTCATATGTCTCACCTGGCGGGTGACTTTTCTGGTCTCTTCTTGAACCTATGGTAGTTCTCACTGTAAATAATAACACGGCTTATAAATTGCTCTTTGTGAATTCACTTATTGTGGTGTATCTCTGGCTCTAATCATGGCTTAATAGAGCTTTGATATTAAATGGTAACCAAATTGAAGTTGCAAGGTAATGTCTAAATGGCGGGGACGCCCTCAGCCCAATAGTCCATCACCCTGTATGAAGGAGTCTGGAACTCTGATTCTGTCTTTGATTTTCAATCTCTTAGGTACTGACATCTATAATTGACACCCCTATTTGGGACTACAGCTGGAATCTGGCTCCAAAAGAGCAAGGGCCATGTCTTTATGGGTTCCATATATGTAGCACCTCGTACAAAGCTGGAGCCATACTAAGTAATAGATGAATATTTGTTGAATGAGCAAGGTTCATGTTATTGTTTATTTCTGTATGTTTTATCCTAGTTTTTCTTAAACATGTGCTTAAAAATTTCAACTTTTACTCATTCATTCATTCAATTATTACCTGAGTACTTGCCATGTCCCAGATAATAGGGACTAGGAGCATAAATTAGGAGGTAAAGTTCCTGCGCTCATGGAGCTTACATTTCTAGTGGAGGTAGACAGAAAACAAACAAATACAAAAAATGACAGGTAGTGATACATTTTAAGAAAGGGTAGAGAGGACCCAACAAAGGAGACTGAGAAGCAGCAGCCAATCAAGTAGGAGGAGAACCAAGAAATAATACTTTATGGAGCTTGAAGCATGAATGGGTAGATTCTGAAATATTAACCAACGTGGTCCCTGCTCCCCCCACACTAAATTATTTTGCTTGTAACCTGATAACTTCTTCTGATCTCCAGGTAGTTAGGGGTTATTCATTATGGGAGTGGAAACAAAGGAGACAAAGAGTATACTGTTAGGTCAATAGAAGACTTTGGGAGACTGGAAAACATTCTTGCTTACCAAGTGTTTCTGCTGGAAAAGAAAAAAGGAATGGGGGAAGCCAAAATGATCAAAAGACTGTGGAGCACTGACCAGTGAGCCTGTAACCATCCACACTCCTATCAAACAGTGACCTAGAAGCGTATAGCCACATAGTTGTCAGCTAGTGAGGGCCACCAGTTACCAATGGCCAGCACAGAGCCCCAGTTATGTCATTCCACTGGTGCCTGAGATTCTGCCTGGTGCCCATCTGAGGGTCAGGGAACTTAAAACCCTCATCCCTGACCCAAGATGAAAGAGTTGATAACCTTGTGGAGTGATGGTGATAGGAAAGAAACTCTATCTGTGGAGTTCCAGCCTCCGCTGAGCAGGGCCTGAGGTGAGGGGAGGGAATGAGAAAGAAAGAGACAGAGAAACAGCGGGATTGGGAGGACTCTCTCCCAGGTAGAAAGGAGAGAGAGAGAGAGAGAGAGCAAATTTATTTTCATTGCATGACTCTTATATAGGGCAAAAATCACACAAGGTAGGGTAAAACCACACAAGCAAGATATATGTTAATGTCTCAACTATGCTTATCTTAATGTCTATGCTAAGTTAAAAGCAAGGCAATCCCTTAAGACAGACAGCCTCCTGGCTAGGCATGGTGCTGCTATGCTATCCATGGAATATCCATGACCATCCAAAGGTCAGGGGAGACAAAGGAAATATAGGCTTGGTTCTTGAACACAAGCCAAGAAACATAAGGACTTTGTTAGTTTATGCTCTGGTTTCCTTCATCTATCCTTTGACTAAGGTGGAACTATACAGAATCTGTTTACAGTGGCCCAGAGTGCTGGGACAATAGTGGAATACAACACATAGCCTCTGCTTTACATATACATATATCCCTGGTATTTAGAATACCCAAATGTACAGGTGAAAAAACTAAGCAAACAAGAAATAAATGAGTTTGAGATGGTGTTTGAGAAGACGCTGGAGGCAGAGGACTGATAGTTCAGAATAGGTTAAGACCTTAGAATAATGATCAACTAAAACTGAAATCTAGCCAGACGCTCATGCCTGTAATCCCAGCAGTTTTGGAAGTCAAGGTGTGGGAGGATTGCTTGAGCCTAGGAGTTCAAGACTAGCCTAGGCAACATAGCATGACCTCATCTCTAGAAAAAAAAATTAGAAATTACTCAGTTGTAGTGGCACACACCTGTAGTCTCAGCTATTCAGGAGGCTGAGGTAGAAGGGTGACCTGAGCCAAGGGGTCAAGGCTGCGGTAAGCCATGATCATGACATTGCACTCTAGCCTGGGCAACAGAGTGAGACCCTGACTCAAAAAGCAAACAAACAACAACAACAAAACCCCTCTGAAATCCCAGTCTGAATGGAAATGTGTTTCTCATCTTTCCATAAAAACCTGTCAGGCTACTATAAACCCACTCTACCAGTGTTGTTTTATATATATTAGAGGGTGAGAAACCCCAAGACCTAGAAGCTGGAGACCCAGGAGACCCAGAAGGTATAGTTCCAGTTTGAGCCTGAAAGCCTAAGAAGCAGGAAAGACTTCCAGTCTGAGTTCTAGTCAGAGTCCAAAAGCAGGAGAAGACTAATGTCCCAGTTGGAATATAGGCAGAGAGAGAAAATTCTCCCTTACTCAGCCTTTTTCTTCTACTCAGCCCTCCAACAGATTGGATGAGGCTCACTCATGCTAGAGAGGTCAATGGTCTAGATTCAAATGTTAATTTCATCAGGAAACAACCTCACAGACACACCCAGAATGTTTAACCAAATATCTAATACATCATGCCTAGTCAAGTTGACACATAAAATTAACCACTGTACATGGATTCCTCCAAATATAATTCAGAGTGTTAGTTATAAAATAGAGTATCTAGGCACTGAAGGGCATCCATGGTGGATAGACTCTAGTCAGTGTTTCTTAGAAGGATATATTTCAGATCTGAATGTCCATCTTGGACAACTTTCCCCCCTTACATTTACATCCTCAGAGAAAAATCCTGTAGAAAAGAGGCTGGGTGTGGTGGTGCATACCTGTAATCACAACAATTTGGGAGGCTGAGGTGGGAGGATTGCTTGAGCCCAGGAGTTCAGGACCAGCCTGGGAAACATAGTGAGACCTTGTTTCTACAAAAAATAAATATAAATAGAATAAAATAAGGATTGAGGAAGTCATAGTGAATGGAAAGTTGGAAAAGGAGACCTGTGAAAAACTAACCAGGATGGGAACAGAGAGGTGTAAATCCAGTCTGGACGGGAAAGCTTGAGGAAAGATAGAACAGCCATCCTTTTTGTGATTTGGAAGGAGGTAGAAATCCCATTGCCTATCCTTTTACCTTTATTGGAGGCCTACCTAGAGAGGATGGAAAAAGGGAATCTGGTAGGAGTAGAGTGATCATAAAATAAAAAAACCTGAGCTTGGGGTGCCTATAGCTTTGCAAGGAGTTTTAGAATCTGAAAAGTTTAAGGGGCTGTTTTGGTCCTAGTGGGAAAGGAAGGGGATACTGGGGCATCTGCTTTGATCTTTCTCAAAGGCTAGATGAAATGAAAATCTTCAGATTGTTCCAGGTTGGTCTGTAGGCCAGCCCTCTATTATTAGGGTGGTGATGCCATAATGAATCAGAATAGGATTCTTGACCCTTGATAGAGGTCTTTACTGGTGCCAAAAATTATCCAGCCGCACTTCCTATATCTCCACCCCCAACACACACACACTAAATTTTCAGCAGTATATATATAAAACATTTAAGTTGAATGAAGCTAGAATTCAAACCAGAACAGTGAGGCAAAGCTGGGATATCAGAAAAAAATAGGGGTTATAAACATTACTGGTTACGTGTCAGCCTCTTTCACATGGTTAATCTCATTTACTCCTACATGAATCCTTGAGATAGATAATATTGCCATAGTTTAAGTAATGATACTGAAACTAAGGACAAGTCAGGTTGAGTAATTTGTTAAAATGTACTTTCTAATAACCAAAAAGCCTTTAATATCTAAGCCAAATACTCTTCCCACCACTACATATAGGCTTTTGTACACCCCGGAAGCAAGCAAATCACTCAGGAGACTGAGGTAAGACACAGGCAGGGAGAAAGGGGAGAAAAGCGAAGAAAGCTGATATAAAGAGTACCTTCACCCTCCTGAATACTTTAGACCTGTGTTCAGGTCTTGGACAATTCATTCCAACTTGAATGCAAGCCAGCATTAATATGCTCTGTTCTCTGGCAATCCAACTAAATTGTTGATAATCTGGTTGGGATGGAGGACAGAAAGCCTGCTATCTTGGCTTGTACCACCTTTGTTTTACATGGAAGATCATGACTCTTGAATATACTCTGTTCTAGAAAAGCCCAAAAATGGTAATTCTAAGGTCAATCTAGTATCTCCTAGCCTTAGAGATGTCTGGGGAATAGAACAAAAGGTAACTGAGGCCCTATTTTACATATACGTTATTTTTGGATATTGGAAAAATAATGGAAATAGTTACTACACAGCTGAAAGACATATTTTGAAACGCTAAAATTCTTTGGTTCAGATATTAAAAGCAGCTTCTGCTTGTTACCTAAAGAAGCTGTCTTTTGTGTTCTATGCCATGGTCCCTTCTGCCCACCTCTGATTTTTGTGCAGCTGTGGGAGAACGTCTCTACCCATCCTGCCAGTCTCCTATCTCAAGCACTCACTATGATATCTCAAGTTATTTTGCCTGAGAGCTCCCTCTGAAAGTTCAGAAGCCTGCTTAGCCAGGTCTAAGGCACAGATTGGAGGAAGTGG